GTCCAGTTCTGGTCACCAGTACTAAGAAAAGATGTCCTTGAGTTGGAAAAAGTCCAGCGGAGGGCAACCAAACTAATTAGGGGTATGGAGGACCAGAGCTACGAGACAAGGCTACTAAATTTAAACATGTTCACATTGGAGGTGAGGAGATTAAGGGGGATATGATCTCCATGTACAAAATGTTCAATGGTGGTAGCAACATTAGCGATAAACTGTTTAAAATTAACTACAAAAACTAGAGGCCACCACCTAAAATTGGTGGGAAAAAAATTCCAGCACAAGGGGTGAAGGGGGTTCTTCACAGTAAGATCAGTTAGGGTCTGGAACTCACTGCCACAGGCAGTGATTTCAGCAAATAATGTGGAATTGTTCAAGAAACTTTTCGACGATTTCTTAAGGGACCGTAATATACAGGGGTACAGGTACTCCTAGAATGAGATCTTAATAGGTTGGACTTGATGGACTAATGTCTTTATCCAACCTCAAATACTATGTAACCTCAAGTTACATAGTATTTGTCCCATTGTCCCATTCATGCTACAACGCAGTGGACGGTGCACTGTCATTAACTGTAACCATGATGCTTTTTATTGCAGCACACTGTATGCCACCGCAGGTCGCAGCACAATCACGATCCTGCCAGTAAGGTTCTTGTTTAATCACATCCTGTTATAGAATGATACTTTGTGCCCGTTTCCCAATTGTGCTCCTGCATGGTCACCCCCTCACATGAGCTTCTGATGGAGACTACAACTGGCTGTTTCAATTATGCATGCACTTATAGGTGGACAACAGTCCACTCTGGTCTTAGAGCAGGTTTTCTTATAGTGACAAGACAAAAGAAAGATGGCTGCATAGAAGCAACAGGACTCAGTCATGACATTCATTCCATTGCATTAAGCAAAGAGAACTTCCTAGGACATTGCATGTTCCACACCTTGGGCTACCTGGCCTGGGAGATTTCCGAGGTAACAAAAAAAAGAATACTGCTCTGGCTGCAATATGCACCTTCTCCAGCTCTGTCCTGGTCCTGACTGCCACTCCTCTCCTGACTTGAATGAAACCCATAGTCTTCCAACCCACTTCCTGTGAGCCCTAAATTTCATAGATGTATTCTCTGAGGACATGTCATCACACCATTCAGGGCTAACCGGAATTCTTCAGTGAGTGTAGGAAGCTCTGCAAAAGCAAAGTTGGATAGTGTATGAAATAGAAAGTGGTAAGCTTGTAAGATTATGGCTAGTATTTGACTTTAATTCCACCATCACTCATTACTTTTGTTGCACTTGACATGTAACTATACCTACTGGTTCTGACAGTTTTTAAAGTGTTAATGTCTTTTAGGTACAATGCCTCTCTAACAAGTGGGAAACTGATGCTCCTGTTAATTCAAATCCTTTGGATCTTGACATAAAAGTTTTAATTGGAAGTATTACATCTTGCAATAAAGACGGTGGAAACATTAATCAGACCACATATTTTTCGATATGTGCTGCCTGTGAAGGTAATTTTTCTTGTTTTATAGAAATGTAATTTTATTTAGAAGATTCCTGTGTTTTTACACACATTTTTTTTCCTCCACGTTTATGCTTCCGTCTTTAGCTGTAGAATAAAGCTTACATTTTAATAGTAGGAAAAGGTCGGCCATAGTACCTAAATTGGCATCAACAACATTCAGTAAGCAGCGGAGCAGACTACTGCTAGAAGAACAGAGATGAGCATATTTCTGTAGCAAACCATACATTGATGTTATCTTAAACACAGATTCTGTTTTTTCTTAGAAAACCCAACTAAACATTAAAGAGGGAGGGAACTTTGGAAGCTGTACCAAAAAATAAGTCGGGCAAGAGGAGAAAGAACTAGCATATGGTTTCCCCGGAGCCTATCTTTTCCTATTACTGACTTACTGTCTTGTTTTGCACTGTCTGTGTGGAAGTGGCCATCTTGGTATAGGCAGGGTTTTGCTACCTCATGTCAGAGCCTCCTGCAAGGGGAATAGTGAGCAGCACAGTAATGACTTCGCCAAATCTGGCGAGACTAGCATTCAGGAGCAGCAATGCCTTAGATCTCGTACTGCAGTTATACAGCTATAAGGCTGAGTGCCTAGACACATTCACATATCGGGAAGTGTACTGCTGTTTTTAGAAGAAGTTCATGACTAAGTTTACAATTTGTTATTTTTTTTTCCAGAGTACTGCTCTGGTGCAATTAACATTTAAAGATGCTCCCTATAACAACTCTTCTTGAGTTCAGTTCCGCTATTGGATTATTAACTTTTTATTGTAGTTGACCTTACATTTTTCCTTGACACCCCTGTGGGCCACCTATGCAGACAGTAAGAGCTTAGTTGATTATGCCAATTAGACAAACATTTCTGTACTTTTTTTTTTTTTTTTGTTGGATATTACCACACAAAACGAGACTGGGAGAG